TCCCACCGTCCATGTTGCTGACAAAGATGGTAAATGGTGCCAGTCCTAATACCGACCTGTGACAACTGTTACTGGAGAAACGTATTTCAGGATGCAAGAAAGCAATCGGCAAAAAAGGTAAAATCAATGTCTCACCTGTGTGCTTACCATCAAGTTGCTATTTTTACCAAACAGTTGTGTAAACTGTCTGAATTCTTTCTCACACTTTCTGATGGCCTCTGCTAGCTGTTGGATTTTAATCTCTTTACATTCCAGGCTCTTATACAGGTCAGATATCTACAGATGGAAAAAACAGAGTAAAAACGCTAAGGCACACCAAAATATACAATCATCAAATTAAAACATATGGGACTATATAGGAGAAAGTGGAAAAGTTTACAATGCAAAGCCTCTAACTTAGCTAGATATAGCACTACTTAATTCACAGTTCGTGGATAAGCACTGGCAAGAACTGAACACAAGGTAATCATATTCTTTAATAGACCTGTGTGGCAACAGGTGCAAAGAAACTCATCTCTCTCATCCCCATCATGATGATCCATTCGGCTCTATAGTGGGATAATACATATTTACATGCATACATGTGCGTGTGTTTTTCTGTGTTTATGTATACACTTTTTTTTCCCTCTACTGAGGTCTAACCAGTAAAAGAGATGAGTCAGTAAGGGATACTAACTCCAAAACCAAGTTGTAGTACTTTGGGGTGCTTAGTTTTAGCCTAAACAAGCAAAAAGTAAGTGAACCATCAGTTTGGATGCATTCATCTTAGTAGGATTGGGCTTACAGCCAGTGTCACCTGTTGGGAGCCGCGGAAATGATTGTGAGTGGAAAGGTGCTTACAACTGGCTCTGCACTACTCCGTCGTGCCTCTACAGAGGGGGTGCCTTGGGCATCTAAAGACTCCTTTTTGGAGCGATCTGACTGGCCACTGAAACTTTAAAATGCTTTATCTCCAAACCTCACACCCACTGTGAGCAGAGACCAGAAGCAAATCAGGTGAGCGCTGGCAATGAGCCTCCCACCGTGTTTGGTGGAGAATATACATGCCCGAGCACAGAGAAGTTTCCATCTAATTGACTGGCTTCACTAGAAGAGCTTATTCTGACTTCTGAGGTGTGCAAAGATGATAAAACCAGCCTTTTAAAATGTAGCTGAGCTAAACCAGGCAACAAATGTAGAATCTTGTATCATCCTCCAACCAGCCAAGAACTGCTGAAGAGTGCTCGTTAAATACAACTAACTTACCTGTTCTTCCAATCGGGAATTCTTATCTAAAATCTGCAGCATGTGTTCCCTCAGGGCACCGTTTTCATGTTCAGCAAGTTTCCCTCTTTTAACCTTAGTGAGGCAGAGGGGGAAGTGAAAAAAAAAAAAAAAGTTATGCAAGCTTTTGAATCTGTTAGTAAAAAATTTATTGATGCAGGCATTTAAAATGTCTCCTCTGTGCTTTGAAAGTGAGGGAATGACAGTTCTGATTCTCTAGTACAGCATCTTAGCCAATACTAGAAATAGTTGTGAAAGAACAAAAATTGGTTATTTTGATTAATTACTCTGATTGGTTTGGGAGACAAATTCCAGTCCCAGTACCGAAACAGATCTATAAAACAGTACCTTTACAAGACAGCCGTACTGTTTATACGGGCAATCCACTTCTGCCTCAGGACACACAGCATGGTGCTTTTCAATCTGCATGTATTAACAAAGAAACTTGTAATGAAATAAATATTAAGTCGTTTGCTGCAGTGATAAAATCTGAATGCTGCATAAAGGGTGAATAAAGGCCAATGTCATGACACCACCTATCACGCAAACAGGAAAATGAGTATTCAGAGTCAATAAGCAAATCAGATATTTTTCCATGTTGCAAAATGCCAGTGGTTTGCAGTGACTGACTATCTCACTTGTAAGATGGAGCATATATCCCTCTTAGGACCAAACAAAGGAAATACTTAGAGCAATGAAGTTTTATTGGCATGGGGCAATGTGGTCTGCAACATAACTTTCAGTTTTCATAAATGTGTGTGATCTGCTAGTCACAGGATATGAAACAATAATAGTACCTCCTTTTTCAAAATTATTTGTGAACAGTTTTGGAGACAAGGCACAGGATAATCAGGACAATCATTTTTCTCATGATTCTGGAGAAAAAGAAACAAACAAGGCAATGGTTTGCATTTTTGTAAAGTAGCGTAAATAAAGGAAACTATGCAAAAAGTAATCCCAAACACACACGTGCAAGTCCCATATCACATTGTTGTTTATGAGACGGCAACAGTAATTGGTACTTTAAAGCACATTTATTAGACTTTCTCCTTCAGGTACTCAGCCAAATTTTGTTTCAGGAGTTCTTAAGCCCCATTGCAATGCTGGAAACTTTTCACTCGGCAACATCAAGAGGAAACATGTGCTATGGATTCCCAAGGAATGCGTTATAATCTTACCTTTATGTTAATTAACACCACATATTTATTACAGTACTGACACATTTCTTCTCGAAATTTACAGTGCTGGCTCAAATGCTCTTTCAAGTCTTTCCGAAGAATTTGATCACAACATCCATCATTAGTGCATTGCACGCTTTCAAACAAACACTGCTGAAGATGCTCCTGCAATGTGCAACAGCAAGTTAAACCCCAAAGCATTTAATCACATCTCTAGTTGCCCAACAGACCCACAGAAACATTCAGCAGTTTGGTAACAAACAAAACTCCAAATACTCTTTCCTCCATAAACTTTCTCCTTTTCCAACCTCGAAACTAAAGTGAATGTGAAAATTTGGAGAGTCCTTTGTATGGCTTCCACTTTTCATTTAATTGATATACCGAAAAGAGGCCGAAATGGCCAGTATGTCTTAGCAAGTTCTTTTGAATCAACCATCACATGGCGCATAAGCATATAGACACAGTGGATATACTAAAGCTACATAAAGCGAATGGTTCTTACTGAACAAATAACCTAGGGCAAAGCTGGAACAAGCTAACAGCCATAATATTTGAGCTTAACATTTGTTACTTACAGTGTATAGCTAACTCATAATCTTTGTACTTAAACCACATTGCTGCAATAACTCTGGAGTCTGAAGACAATCACTGGAATTTAGCTTATCATAAATACAAAGAGTTCGCATGAAAATCGAAGGCTTCAAAATTTGATCAAGCAAACTAACCTGATATCGTCCCAGAATTATTTTTGAATTGCAGTCAGGAATGTTTTTGCAGAACACATGCAAGTTGAGAACTTCTCTTTTACAGCAGTTGTCTTTGAATACCTGTAAAGGAAGCAAACCAGCCTTCATATGCAGTCACATAGGATGTTATAAAGAATATAAAAAACCAAAACATCACAACAAATCTTTTAGGCATACATGTGTAGACTTCATAATTGCGAGTATGGTTCTTGATAATTCATACTGAAAATGTGTACTAAAAACATAAATTAAAAGATATAAATTTTTTAATAAGCATAGGTTTTTTTCCTCATGTAGTTTTTCCACAGATGCTGATCCATCCCACAGCCAGCAGGATTAGTAGCTCAGGAGCTATAAAACCGCTGCCAGAGCCTGCCTGTATCTAGAAGAAAGCAGCTGGAGCTAATAGGCCCCAAAGGCCAAACCAGCTCTGTGCACACTCCTCCGATGTTCAAGCAGTGCAGCGTGCCTTTGGGGTGGAGACGATGCTGAGATAGCCCGTCTATAGACTCTGAGAAACAGCACCGTTCCCAGTTGTGCATGCAGAAGCAAATTAAGCCCCCAGAGCAAACTTTCAATCTTATTTAGAGATCATCCTGTAAGGAGCATTATAAAGCTGCTCACTGTTGCACTACTGCCATCAAAGTTTGCACAAAGTAGAAGAAAGAGAATGAAAAACAAAAGTCACATGGACAGTCCGATTACAATTTCCTATCAGGGGTAGGAGAGAGAGGAAGGAAACATTTGATTTCACTGGAAAATTAATTCTGGTAGGAAAGTATGTAGCATACTTTCAAGGCTTGGTATATAAATAAGGACAAATAAATCCATTAAAAAAAAAAAAAAATCAGCAGCTTGCAAAAGAAGAAACATGAACTTATCTTTCCCTCTGAAAAGTTACCCAAAAGTAAATTAAGTCTGCAGGGTTAATGAGATATAATGGAAATGGCTATACTTTGCTGCCTTAACTAAGTGAAAACAAAGACAATTAAATAACCAAGATGACCCAGCGAAACGGGGCATTAAAAAGGCAAGTCAATAAACTCTTCACTAAAAAGGACATCTGATTACTAGGGAAGATTTAAAACTTTGTGAAACTCTTTGAGACTTTACTGGAAATACAGAAGACTAAAATGAAATAACTTCAGAACATGAGGTATAAAATAAAGCTTTAGCTATACACCCATGCTTTGTTTCTGGGAAAGCGTCACTGAATATGCTGCTTCCCTCAGCACCATTTCAGAGACAAAAACTGCTCTGCCCCTGAGGACTAACAGACTAAAAGCCACCTTGTTCTCAGCTGTCTTGCCTTTTCCATGCAGATATTGACTGCTGAAGTAAAACTACAGCCACTTACCTCGTGCATTTTTATTGTTTCTTTGTCGACAGGACAGGTGGGTACTCCATTCAACTCTCTAGATCAAAAGAAGAGTCATGTTAACCCCCACAAAATCCAATTTTATGAAATTGGGCTGTGTTAGAATCTGACTATGGCAGAAGTCAGTATTAGATACCATAAAAACTAAAAAGTGCTTTGAAAACACTTTAATCTGGCAACTACACAGCCAAATTCTGCCCACAGCTCTAAGAGGGCATGAAGCTGCAACAGTGAATATATAACAGAAAGCAGAGTTTGTCCTGCGAGTGTTAATAAGATGGTTTTTAATTAAGAGGACTTTGTCAGTCTCTGGCCATCTGCTGCTTGCAAATGTCATATCTGAAAAAATCCCATTGCATGCAATAAACCCAGCCTTTGCCTAGCACAAGCAGCGCACTCCTTGCTACACCAGTAAGAGAAGGTCTAATGGCTCCTGTCTTAAAAGGTTTCCACAAGTCCTACAATAAGGAATGGGAAAACATTTATTGAGGCAGTGCAAAAAAGGAGGCAACCCAGAGGAAGAAAGCAGCAAACATGGGGCTTCTAAAATTCATAAAAGGTAAATGGTGACATCCATCCACATGCAGCCTTCCCGGGCCAAATCCTGCCCTCGGGTACACCAAACAGGACATAATGTATTTCCAGACAGGTCTGCGAGGTAAATTCATTTGTACCTCCAGATAAATCCCAAGCAGATGGATGCCAGCAGCCTCGTGATCTGACTGTAGTATCAGGCAATACTAATATCAGTTTTATAACTCCACTAAACCCAAAGAAATTATACAGAAGCAAATGAAAACAGCTTAATCTAACCACCAGTGCCAATACCATGAGACATTAATGCAACAAACTCATCTGAACAACACAATGCTAGACAGACAGACCAAGACAGCATCTCACACAGTAGTGCTTAAGCTTACATCAACAATTTCTTTACACTGACTTCCCTGCAGTTACCAAAGTATTCCTTTCCAACACCAGGTAAGGTCTCTAAAGACACCTTTAAAATACTGAGCACGCAGTCGTTGAGTTCAACAGACTCCACTGACACTTTCAGCATTTTATCAGATTGGTACCATTATTATGGCACTCACTGCTGATTTATAAAAGGCGTTGACTTGTTTTGAGGGAGGGGAGTACAGGGAGCTTGTGGATGCAGGAGGAGTTTGCACTGACCTCAGAGAAAGAATGCATTGCTGGCAAAATCGGTGCCCGCATCCTGTCTGGTGGGGATTGTGAAGGACGAGGTGGCAGTAGGCACACTTGTACCGGTCTTCCAAGGTTTCAACAAACTTGTAGTTGACGTCAGGCTCAAAATCCAGAGAGACGGCACTGGCAGAGTTCTGGCGTGTGAAGATGCCCGAAAGAGAAGTGGGTTCGTCACAGGCCATGGGAGCTGCACTGGGAACCAAACACAGGGAGAATCCCGTCAAATATTCTCCGCAGTCACACCGCCTTGGCTACTGCTTGCCGCAGGCTGCCGCTCGCAGGAGGGCTGTCATCTGCAGCAGGGTGTGACAGATTTCGGAGGGAAATGCGGCACCAACTATGGAAGAACAACAAAATTCTCAGAGAACCACAAAACGATGGTTACGCGACAAGCATCAAAGCCCATTTCTTTGGAAAAGAGCTTCACAGTCTGAAAATTGTTTCACAGAATAGAGATTTTTATGGGTTTTTTTTAATTTTTCTTGCAGCAGCTTAGTCCTAAAAAATTACAAGAGTCACAGACACCATTGGGGAAAGCAGGAGCCAAGTTTTGGCCCTAATGTCTGCCAGGAAAGTCTATGCTTAATGTAGAGCCCACCCACATGACTTCATGAGTTCATTGCACTGGTTCAAGCGGGAGACAGTTTTGTGGTTCACAGCAAGGAGTATATAAAAAAAAGGCAGCAAGGGGATTTTACCTTCGGTTTAGGTGTTACAGGAGTCAAAGCTGCTTAACTTGACATCTTTCTTTTTCCCGTTGATCACTCATTTACAGCAGTAAACTCTAATCTTATTTTTTCAAAGTTTTACTTAATTATGCGCAAGTTCTTGGCTGTATGAATCCTTGCCTGAAAGAAGCGATGGAAAAAAAAAAGAAAGAAAAGCAAGGTTGCAATCAGAAACATGACACAAGTTTTTCTCTCAACCTACCAAAGCTCATACATAGCACAGGAATGCAATATTAATTTTCTAATAGGAAAAATCAGCAACATTTGTTTCCAGTCCTGAGTCACAAACCTTGAGATTTGCCACTGGTCCCTCAATCTTGCAGTCATTTTTTTCACAAGTAACTCAAGACCTAGAGCCACTCTGGTTTCCATTTCTTGCAGCTTTGCATTCAGAAGACATTTTTTTTTTTTTACAGGATGTGTACAAAAGCACAAAGCACCTGACGTTTCAGATCATTTCACGGGGGACGTGCTCAGTTTTATAGCTTTGCTGTGGGATGCTATTTCTCCTCTGTGTGCATCACCCGCCCTGTCAGTCACTCAAGTCACTCTTACTGGCATCAGCACCTCTCCGAGAGCTCTGACTCAGCTCCTGTAAGGTCACTGAGGGTATCTGCTGCTTTCGTAGGGAAGCAGGGCCAACACATCACCATTAACAACCTTAAGGCTGGCATGGAACAATGTGCCAAGTACTGATATACTGCCCTACCTCCCTCTGCAATGGATCCCTGGCCCACGAAAGCAGCGATCAGTACTGTGCTATGCACGGCTCCAGCACTGCCACAGACCACCTTAGGCTTCAGAAAGCAACATCCATTTTCCTGTCTACTCTAATAGCCCATACTGGGGGGGAAATCCTGCAAACAGGTAAAGTACCTGATTCAAAAACAGGCCAAAGCACTTAACCAATGAAAATGTATTTCACAGCAAACATTTACATGCTGCTGTAACTCAGTACCCTTGTTCATGGTTGTACACAGTATAGTATTGACCTGCCTAGCTTGTGAGAGCCTGCCTGCCTTCCACCAGGCTGAATGTCAGACTTGCTCCAGCACAACTGATCCCCTAACGTCGGTAATCCAGAGGAATATGAGCCCTAATCATATTCCAGGCATAAGACTTCTTATTCCAACTGGAGTTTGCAAATTACCCTCTTCAGTCCCTCCAATGAACAGCCTTCTGGTTCAAGCCAGAGATGATTGTCCATGTCAGTCCTTTCACTTTTAAACAGCTGACCTTTTCTCCTCTGAAAACAGGGTTCCCGGTTCTCTGACGCTCAATAAGGAGCAATTCTATTTTCCTCGTGTCAACCAGAGACGCCGAAATGCAGCCCGGGGGATTACCAGCCTCGTGCCTGGGCTGCCTCGGTAGCAGGTGCCAGCAGCAGAGCGCGCCTGCTGCATCAAAGGCAGATGGAGGGCTGTCACTGTTAACAGCATAGGCCAGCTACAGGATGAATCTCCTACGAACTCATTCTGTTGTTGGTTGGTGAGAACCCTGAAACACGTTTCCTTCCTCTCTCTTATTAGTGCTCTCTTCCATTTACATGGCATCCAATTTTCTGAGTCCTGTTACACTCCAGGACTGAAATCGTCTCATGGTATGGTTTAGCAAGTAAATGCTGCACTGTGTGAAAATAAGTTTAAAAAAAAAAAATAAAAAAATCCATGTTTTACCCATCTTGCCTTTAAGGGTCTACCTTAACTCCAGAAGTACTTCCAGCTGGAGTGAGCAATGTTACAGATGTTTTAGGCAACAAAGTTATGGGATGCATTAAGAAGAAACACAGTCACCAGCCCAAAATCCCATCCAGAAACTCTTTCAGAGCTCTCGCTGCTCATTAAATCAACCACATTCATGCCCATCTCTTTCTGCAAGGAGCACTCTGCTGTAGTACAATGCCTTCCAACTCTCTTGCTGAAATGAGAGCCTTTATCCCCTTAAACACCTTCATGACGCACCCAACCCAGATCCCGTTCCTAAGAATGGAGACTCTCAGCATCTCCATGAAAGTGCCTCCTCCTCACTCAGGAGTGTGTTGCACAGCGGAGGGCACCCCTGGGCACAAGAAAGAGCACTTGAGGTAAAGGCGAGCCCGCCTGCTCAGAGGGCAGAACGCAAACCTCTGGGTGCCCAGAAGACCGGGGACGTTTGCCACCGCTGCCAGCCTTGCAGGAGGTTTGCTGCGGGGTTTGCAGCTGTTTTGCTGGAGGAAACGAGCTGCCCCAGGAGTGGGCCTGTGGATGGCAATGCTTCACCCAAGCTGGAGAGGTGCCTGTGTGAATCAGTGATGGGCTCAGAGGAACTGAGAAACGGCAGCCCTGTGCCAGACCTGCTGCCGGCCAGCGCTCGGTAGGACGCAATCCAAACCATCACAGGCGGCACGTAATTCCTGTCCCAGCGCCCACCGGTGACTCAGGGTGGGTCGCAGAAGCTCTTCTTCCACTTCTGGCTTCCAGCGCCCATGCCCGTGCTCTCTGAACTGAAACCAAAGGGAAACCATCAGGGGAAAAAGTGCTTTTTTGTGACAGTGAGAACACGCCAATGGTTAACTGAATCAATTTCCTGCTTACGCTAATGCCCGGCCCATGTAGGAGATGAAGTACGCTTTCACTTCTGCCTGTTCACAGCTAAGACCAACGGGAAGACGTCCTTTCTTTGCCTACACGGCGATTTTTCAGCACGTGTGTGACCTGTAATGCTGTTTTAAAGTAGTAGAGAGTGGCAGGCTCATGCTGCGTAATGATGCTCTTGTGGCAGATGCACAACACACGCGGCAAAGGGATTTTCATTGCAACTCCACCTCAACAGCACACACACACAAAAACACCAATCTGTGGACACTGAATTCAATCTACACATCAAAAAAAATGGATTTCCATATACTGAAATAGATAGAATTAATTCTGATTGCACATAGAAAAGTAGCATGAGTCACTAGCAGCTAAGCCCAAGTCCTATAAACAGCTACCAAAGAGCGGGGGCTCAATGGCAGTGCAGTACAAAGAGCTCCCAGCTGCACTTTCCCACCATTTCAGCATCCCAGCCCTGCCTGCACCAACGGCAGCACACGCAAAACGCTTCTGGAACAACTCTTTGTATAATGGTGATGTGCACAGATGCTTTAACCTCATTGGAAATAATCCAAGGGCGAGAATTTTCATAACAAAAATTAACTTAAATGTGGGCTATCCTGTTTTAGCTACCACCACACCAAATTGAGCCCAAACGTTTTCCATTAAAATTCTGCACGCTTAGTGTATCTTACTGTTCAGAAACTGAGCAACACACAACCAGAACATGGTAATAAGGAGAAAAATCAGCATAGGCACGGCTTACTATAATATAAAATTACACTAACATTTTTAAAGCCATGTTCAAAAAGTTCCCCTCCTATCTATGCTACTAGCAGTCAGAATGGAGAGAAGCAGTGTGCAACGCCGATATCACATTGAGCTATTGTGGGCAGATTAACTTTTTTTAGCCACAAAAACTGCGCACAGAGAAAATCATCCCTATAACGTGGTTGCTCTTTTTAAAGAGAGTACGTTTTTCCTGTTTTCTCTCACATGAAGCCAAACCCCGCTGAAAGGTCTGCAGCGTGCCCCATGAGCTATGAGTGCCCCGCTACAGCAGCCTGCACCACCAAAACCTCCAGGACAGCAGACCCGAGGCACAGGCACTGAACACCACCACGTCTTTTACACTGAGAAGGGCAAATGTGTGAGTCATTATCGCAGATTTGGTGGTCACACATGGACAAAAAGCCAGGATCCTTGGTCCTGCTGCCCAGCAAATAGGGGCTGAGAGCATGGCTTCTGCCAGGTTCACTGCATGAGGGGAGGGTGATGCTCAGCTACGCTCCAGGATTGGGGTATTGCTCAGGGAAAAGCACTGTGGTCGCTTCCTTACGTATCATGCTTCCATGAAATACATCCAACAGGGCATCGAAAAAAAGTTATACACCTATCTTCCTATACACCTAGCTCTAGTTCAGCTCTATTGCTTTGGTACTTGGTAGGGACAAGTCTTAGAAGATGCCCTGCTCCTCCCTCTGAAAATTAGCTACCGTTTATGGTACATCAGAACCAGAAGCCTGTCTTAGTCACAGTGGGGAAAGTTTTATCAAATTTAGAGGTCTAAGATCAATTCATTAAGAGCTGACAGGCAGAAATATGATGGAGGGGAATATACCTTGCATTAAAATGACCCTCTCCAAGCTGCCTTATAAACTAGGTAGGTTAGCTGCCTCCAGTATTTTGAATTAAAATAACAAAGCTATATGATTTACTACTAATACAAGGTCCTCCACAAAACCACTGCAGTCTGGGAACTCTTAACATACGGAGCGGAACAGGTAACAGAGTCTGCTAAAGAATGACTAAAAATATCTATACACTTTGAAATACATATTTAAGATATAGCAGATTATATGGAGTCATGTGAAAACAGCA